TTATAATAACGGGCTAAGGGTTGTTTACGTGTTTTTGTGTGTGTGTCTGTGTGTCTGTGTGTGTGTCCGTCTGTTACGAAATTCGTAGAGCGTGTTCTAGCCAGCGTTCTAAGCCCAAATTTTGCAGAGCGCATGCTACCTTCATGAAAGTCCAACATGCAAGAGCACGATTAGATTCGTTGAATGGATCCCTCAGGAATTGCGCGCCAACGGGTCCACCTGGCTTCTGTGCCGCAAAAATGGGTCCTTATCACTACTTTTTTGCAAAGTCGAGGATGTGGTTGATAAGCAAAAGTGCAAGTGATGGGCTTTAGCCCGAAAAGTGGTCAAAAGTTTACTACATAACGAAAACGGCGCCAAAAAGAATTGGTTGCGTAGATGGTCAATTTGCCAAGGTTCTAGCCAAGCATTTGAGAAGATTTCACAAAGATGTAGCTCACGATTACTATTGCCTTTATGGCGACTACCAAGCCATGACAACTTCAAAAACCTACTCAAATTTACGTTTGTCTCCCTGCGAAAAGTTTCATCCGCGCGAAATCACCGATCTGACGTGAAAAAACTTTTTAAATGAGTAGTTGTTTACATTTTATTCGTGGTAGTCGGCATAGCGCGGTGAGTTCCATTGCCTCGATTTCACGAGAATGAGTACGGCACACAGATATCAGAGCCAGTGCGAGCCTCTGCGAAGCAGAGGTGATGCACTGTTCTCGCATAATGTTCCTAACCGATGCATATCTATCTCATTATCTCTTATCACAAATCTATATATATATAAAACTCAAAAATTGTCAGTTTGGAGGGTATGTGCGTTATAGAAACGCGCGCCGCTCAACCGATTAAGCTGAAACTTTGCACACATATGTTTTCGAGCCTTGCGCAGATGATAGGCTACTTTTTGTAGCGATTAGTTGGGTCCTTCTATCGATTTATTGATTTGCAGCACTTTGCAATAAAAATGATTCTTATCATTTGCTATCAAAACAGGGGTATGTAAACAAGGCTGGCATGTCTCATTGTGAACTTCTGTTGACGAAGTGCAGTGAAAAGTGTTCTTGATGTGAGTCTCAATTGCTCATTTAAATGGATGCACTAAATGTATTTTATGCTGCGGAAACCTTAGCGTGCAAGAGACCATGAGTGCTTTGTAGCGAGTGTTTTGTACGGAAGGTGCTCAATTTACGCTTATAATCAAAGCTTTCTTCGTTACATGCTCAATTTAAACAATGAGGGGTCAAAATTTTTCATGAGATTGCGCACAAATTATTTGTCAATACCAGAAATAATGTCAAGACAAGCGACAACTCACATTCGCTATAGTTGATCCCTGGGACCAGGAAAGTGCGCGAGTGCAAAGTACTGCCGACTCCACAAAAATTGACGGCAAGCAGTGAATGAAGATGAAGTAGCCGGTTAACGGCAAAGTGTCACAAAAAATGATCCTCATAATAACAATGAGCGCTGCTATCAATTAACTCGCGCTGCTTGCTTAGGTTTTGCGTGTTGAACATGATTTGGAGAAAGAGAGATATGCTACCGACTAATAAGTGTTCACATTTTGTTTTTGTTCTTTACACAGTTTCTACAATGCCACCGAATACCTTATCTTCATTCCCGATCAGTGATTTCCCGGGCTGGACCGGGCAGATCAGCTAGTATCATGCTATTGCTAAAACCAATATCACCTCGGTAACGACCCTCCCACCCCGTCGCTCTGACCCCTCCATACCACCTCCCAGGTGTGGCATGCCACACCCGCGCTTGGACCTGGTGATCATAGTGAAGAGCGAATTTATAACAACTCTAGATACATTTGAACCCAATGGACTTTTTATCTCCACCCCCAAACATTGATGGCCGGAACCACCAAGGCCGCTTCTACTTTTTAGAGCGTTTTTCTTGCTTCGGAAATTATCTTTTGCAACGGAACTTGGGTGATTTAGTCCCGCTATTATATAACGTCAAGCTCTCACCAGGCTCTCAGTTTGGGTGGCGGTGTCTCTAAGCAAAAGTCTACTTATAAAGGTGTAAGCATCTTATATACAATGTGGTCCATGAGCGCGATTGGGAAAGTGTTTTTCTCCATGTTCTTCTTTGTGTTCATTTTCCTTCGGCTTTTGGATAGAGTTGATCTAGCCCAAAGGTCGCAATCGCTAGAAAGCCGTAAATCGTAGTTTTCCGAGATTCTAAAAAAGCATCCGAAGAGATTTTGAAGAGCTGTGGTGCTTTATTGGGCTGGAGCAAGCATTATAAACGCTAAATTTTTGGCAAGCCCAAGCACTAGTCCACAACGAAAAGAAAATGCTTTGAAGGTGTGAAATCCTTTTCGAGCGCTTCAACACGTCCCGAAACGCGAAATCGCACGCGGCAAGATGTTCGCTGCAGCGTGTGTAGCACAAGAGGATATTGCAGGCCGGTCATTTTTTCGTTGCATAATTTCGACCTGTCTTCATGAATGTTTTGCGCCAAGTATTGTGTTTCGCATGCTCTTCATCAGTTGACGTCATGGTAGCACACTTGGTAATGAAAGTGGGAGCTATATGGCTATCCTGAAATCCGGGCCCCAGAATTTTAAGATGTACATTTTATTCAAACTTAGTATATGGGGATTATTTGACATGGTGATCACGAATTCACAGTCTTCTCGCACAAAAACGCCTCTCTGTGTGGTCAACGTGGGTAACTACGTGAGTTAAAATCGTAGATCTGCACAAAATTTCATATAAGAAGCTTCTTCAGTTGTAATCGTGACAAGGGAGCTTCAACCATTACAATCTCGGTCACGCCTGAAAGAGTCTTTGCGTGCGCTCTAAAAGGGTGATGCATGTATAGACTAGGGCAAAAGTCTGGGAGATCTGTAGTATTGTAAATCACGAACCTCCTATGATTTTGATTCCAAGTTTGTGCGACATGATGCGATCATCCTCCACACTTTACCTAGCTAAAAATGCTTGCCATATCTTTTTTAAGAACTGAGTTCATAAAAAAACGCTTCTGCAGGGCGAGAAACCTAGTATTCACATTTATTTCGTAGCCAAAGATACTGTGAATATTCTACAACACTTTGATGCATACAATGCAGGGTAGGCTTTGGGCTATCACAACAAAGTATTTGCGTTTGCCAGAAACTATTCTTTCGGAAACGCAAAATAAAAATTTACAAGAATTACCTGCGTACCAGTGGCTATTTGTCTCTGAAAATAAGTTTGAAAGCTATAGGAATGCAGCAAGTACTGTTTAGTTTATATACTTTCCATGAGTCTCCCATATAAGCATCTATTTAAATTCGATTGATAGAGAATTTCAATACCTTTCAAATTATGATTTTTCGCTTCCGTTCGCGCAATTGCATTCAATTTCCCAGTATGCGAGTACACTTGTATTCATTTAAAATGTCGAGTTTTTTATTCAACTATTGCAAAATATTTTCTTCGTAACATGTGGTAGCCAAAAGCTTGCTCTATCATACTTCACATGTACCTAGTGAAAGAAGCAGTTACCGTGGGCGTGGGACGAATTTCATCACAACTGCCGATGCGATTGCGCGAACGCGTGCGATAGGCGACTCGCCAAGATTTCCAAGGGCTGCCTTGCAGCCAAAAGCAGAGCTCGGCACGAGGTGGCTAGATGAAAATGGAAAAAACGAAGTCCTCCTTGACTTTTGGGAATTTTTACGAAGTCCCCTTTGACCCTCAACCAAATTTCCTCTAAGAACCTGAAAAATTCCCCAAAATCCCCCAAAAAACGAAACGTCGACTAAAAAAAAACGTCCCCAAATCGCCAATTTTGCGTCTCACTTCGGTCACAAAAACGAAACCCCCTTTGCTTTTTGTCCCAAAAACGATACTCAGCTTGCTTACAAGCCACCTGTGCCGTGCCCTGGCCAAGAGAGGCTCTCAAAATTTGAGAGTTGCGCTGTATTTGTTAAGGTTCGATTCATGTGTGCAGGTACTTCCCTTCTGATTTTATCTGAAAAAGTACTAGTCTCCCAGACTTTTGCTCTACCCTGTACTATAGCTTTGACCAGATTTAAGGTTTTGATCCAACCAGGCAGACCATATACACTGTAACATTAGAAAATCGCGCTTCGCTAAAACACTCCATATTCGCAAACAGCCTGCTGACTAACCACTAAGGACCAAAAATAGCCAAATCTGTGATTTCAACATTGCAGCATGCCTTCCTACGATAACCATATAACAAGGCATTCACGTTTCCCAAAACGGAGGAGGTCGTTTAATAATCAGCTCTTGTACTTTCCGGGTGAGTGACTTTTCATATGGAGCAATTCCGAGGTGCGAGGTGTGATCACCTACGGCTAAGTGTCAAGTCTCGCACCTCCGCGGCTAGTATACTGTAGGGATGGGGGGGGGGGGTAGGGAAGGGGGGGGGAGGGGGACTTTTCATACGAATGCCCCACATCATCTTTTGGCAAAGATCCAGTGAAAATTGGCACCATGCCGAATTTGTGCCTACTGGCTCCATTCCAAAAAAATAAAACATCTAGAATTAGCTTTGCAGCACCGCGAATTTAAATAAAATGAAAACTTGAATGCTGTGTGAATTCAAAAGTGTTTTGCTTTGAACAATAATATTATAATCGTTCTACTCATGAATTTTTTAGTATTCAAGTCGGCATAGTTCGGTTTTTCCTTTGCAGACGTTTTGAACTGATTTGAGTAATGTCATATGCCTTTCCGACCTTTCAGCATGACCTGGAAGTGTTACCGTTCCTATAGGGGATATTGGAGGGCACGCGACCCGATGAAGCGGACTATATCATTATCACAATTGTGCCGATTGTTTGCGAGAATGAATTCGCTGTGGCCTGACGACCTTTACTATGATACCCTATTTCAAAGCTTTTCGAATTTTTCATCGTTTCGTGCACCCCCACCATTGCCAGGTAAGCTTTATCAACAAATAAAATCGAGATATTCTTTACTTTACGCACAGAATCAGAAAATATTAATTCGAATAACGTGGAAGAGATCGTATACATGGATATTTCTGTGCCAAGTAAGTTTTGCAAAAAATCCACTTGTTTTATTTGTTTTTTTTTTCAAATTTAGATGCACCTCAATTGTACACTGCCTCTGGCGCGGCCGTTGCGACGAATTCCAGCTCTTTGGGCTCAAACTCAATTTTTTCTGATGATCAAATGAGCGAAGCAGTAATGCCTCCTAGTTCCAACTCATTGCCTATACGCGCTTCTGAGCCTTTATTCGAAATAACTCAAAACATTCCAAATCCTTCGACAGCTTTTTCCGATACAACTTCCAGTCACACGAGTCAACCGGCTCTAGAGTCCTCAGTAGGTGGTACCACAGGGAATGTGAACATTGCAACTTTTACTAGGGATGAAAGCGAGTTAATACCCAGTATCCAAGCTATTAGCCCCGTAAGATATTTTGGAAAATTCGAACTGAGCAAACATGGAAAACGTAGTGTCCTCGTGTATAGAATCCCTAATACAAGAATGGTTTATTCTTTCTCATTTTTGAGAAAAAATAATACATTTGATGTCTATCGTTGCATACGTTGCCAGTCGCAAGGGAGCTATGTCAAGATCAAGGTGAGCTAAGATTTTATTTCAAAACAAAAATTTGCTATTGAAACTGTAGGTTGTCGGCAACGAATTCCGAGAAAATCCCTGCAGTATTGGGCATATCTGTCCTTCCCAAACGGTTGCATTTGACGCCAATATCAGGAAGTTCTACGAGGAAATGCAGTCCGTACGAGGCGACTCGAACTCCTCAGGAATGAGAGTTAAGCAAATTTGGTATAAAGGCCTCCGCGAAAGGGAAGAATCGCGAACGGAATCAGGTAAAACGGCATTTATGTGCTAACGTACAGTTGCAAAATGCAGTATAAATAAATCCTGATTTAGACGAAGCAGTACATGACGGGGTCGTGAGTGAGTACTATGGAATTGGGTTTGAAATGCGCAAAAGGCAGATAGCCAGGTTCAGAATTTCAGTTCCCTCTTCCTTCTTTCTAACACTGATTTCTAGAAATCTCGCTATTCATAAAGACAAGAGGGCAACAATGGCAAATGTTCCATCTGACCTGCAATGTCTTTGTGATGGTACGCTATTTTTGCAAGAGCAGTCTGAGCGGTTCCACATATATTTCTCAGAGCGAACAATTCAGGTAAAACCCTGATTTTTGATTTTTTATTATTTCACTTATTATTCAGCTCAATTTATTTTGGTTTGACGAGCAACAAAAGACTGCGTACTGCTTTCAGAAGGCATGCTCTGTGGGTCTAAATGTTCTGGTGGCGGATGGCGTTCATTCTGCACAACCCAAGGAATTGGCAAGGAGCGGACAATTGTATTCAGTGCACGGGGTCTGTGGAAACGGCGTCGAGGTCCCGTTGGTATACGCTATTACAATCGAAAAGACCACGGCGATCTATAAGAAGATTTTTGAAAAATTAAAAACGCTTTTGCAAAGTTTCGGAGCACGCGAGGATCTCCGCATAGTACTGGATTTTGAAAAGTCTTCTATAAACGCAGCCAAAAGGACATTTGCCGGAGCGCAGGTTAAAATATTGCAATCAATTTTAACTTGACTTGAGTGACTATTTAGCTGGAGGGATGCTCGTTCCACATGGCTCAGGCCTGGAACAGACGCAAAGATAAATTGGGACTTCGTCAATACCTCTGCGGTAGGCAATCATTATTTACCTCAGAAGTTTGCAGCTTCAATTATAAAAACTGAGGTCCGACCAGAGAAAGGCGAATTTCACGGTGGTGGGAAATGCTCAAGGGGCTGGTATTTTTACCGAAAAGATTGCGAGCACGTGTTCGAGCATTGGAAGGACCACCCGTTCCCCGTAGACACGATGCATATAGAAAATGTGCCAGATTTCTCAGGTAAGCAAAAAAGCTAATTTCAGTATATATTTCATTTTTATTTTGCAGGTATCTGCGAAACACTTGGCTTTCTGGCATGTACAAAAATCTATGGTGCAAATGGAAGAAATTTGAAATGCGAACAACAAACCTCGCTGAGGCTTTCCACAGGTGCAGTTAGCCCATCTACAATACCGCTCTTAATCCTATTTCAGCTCATTGCAAAAAATTCTAAATTGTGATCACCCTCCTTTGGGCACCTTGATTCGAGTCCTGAAAGATTTAGATTTGGAAGCTAAGTGTGCCCTTTATCGCGCTGAAAGAGTGGGTTGCCTCTTTTACTGAAGTTACTGAAACTGAAAATTCAAAATACTGGAATTTCAAATTTAGATGCCGCTTGAACGTAAGCGTTTGCGACGGAGAGATGTGCTGAGGAGAGAGAAAATCACAGCGGAGATGATGAGGTAAGGACTATCGCTGCATATTCGCAAAATTATTTTCTGATTTTTTAAATTTCTATTTCAGCTTCGACCATCGGCTGCGTATGGGGCAACTACGAAATCATCAAGTAGAGAAATACTGCATACGAATGGCTAGATTTGTTTCTAATAAAAGCATTTAGTGAAAAAAGATTTAGAGATAATTTTATTGTGCTTATTTATGTGCCTTGTGAATTTTATTTTACGTTTTTGATAATAAACGCTTCATTTTGGTCCATTATAATCGATAAGTGGTCGTATTACCAGCACCTTAGCATACCGCTAAAAGGTCAAGGTGATCAGGGAGCGTTCGTATGAAAAGTCCCCCTCCCCCCCCCCCTCACCTAGGCGTAGTGGAGAATCTTACTAATTACGAGGATGGAGAGGTGCGATGTAGGTGCGAGGTAGGTGCGAAGGCTAGGTGTGAAGTCCCCGATCGTATGAAAAGTCCCCCCCCCCCCGTACTTTCCTATGCCTTGCAACTATAGTTAGAACTGAATATTCATGTTCGAATAATTTATTCGAAATATTCGACTATTCGAATATTCGAATAGTCGAATATTCGAGAAAGTCCGATTATTCGATTATTCGAATAGTCGAATAAATGAAAATCTTTATTCGAATTATTCGTTCATTCGACGATTCGGAAAAATGACTTATTCGAATATTCGAATCTTCGAGGAATTTTGAAAGGCAATTATTCGAGTATTCGATTATTCGAATAGTCGAATATTCGATCAAGTTCAGTTATTCGAATATTCTTTTGGTCGAATTTTGGAATGTAACCATACTCTATTCGAATTCGAATAATATGAAAATCGGAAATCGAATAATGTTCGTTCATTCAAAATTTTCGAAAACCAATTACTCGATATTCATTCGTTCGATGAAAATTTCCGTTCGTTACAACTATACTTGCAACGAGCGGAATTTCCTTGGGAATGCGATCTAGTCAGCTCAGGAATGAACCGCGCGAAAGTTCTGTCCGCGCGACATTCGCAACGCCGTACCGATTTGCAATCGTTCACTGTTTGCCACTTTCTGCTTTAAACAAAATAAGGTAGCGCAGGGTCAGGAAGGTATGTTGGACAGCAGTCTCAAATCTATACGATGGCATTCTTATATTGGAAGGAGACCGATTGTAGGGAGCAGGAGGCTGTTGCAAACTCAGCGATTTACCATGTACAGCACTGGTCCAAACGTATCAACAAAGACCTTCCGGGTGCGAAGCGGCGCTTTGGACTGGTACCGTAATATTCTTTCATTTAAAGATACCGACATCATCACACTGGGAACTTTTGAAACCAAAAGTGTTTACAGCGTATTCGTGACAGTCAGCATTGCGCTGTGTTCCAGAGCCATCATCATGTGAACATGGCAAGGTATCTGGATATTGACTTTGGGCGAACAGCTGCGGAGTAGGTGATACTACGAAACAAGCTACAGAGTATACCAACCATCATCGGCCGTGGGTACCCAGGGGATGAGGCAGCGCGTACACGCCGCAAGCAGAGGAGACTGCACTCGAGCGCAAAGCTAACCACATGTAAACTCATGCTGTTAATTCAATTCATGTTTACTTTCTATTCTCGTGTTAGGCATTGAGTTCCGTGCTTTATAGACTACACTGCTTGCGGCGAAACACCTTCAGATGATGGCGCCGTTCGATTGAAAAGTGCTCAAGCACGGACGGTACGCTTCTTTCGCGATCAAGAGATTCAATGTGCCACCTGCTAACACTATGCTAACAAGGGAATGGTCAGAAGTCGAAGTGGCCAATCCATACAAGCTGCATACCAATCGATGCAGCATAGAATGCTGATTTCAACTGTGTCTTCCGTATCTGCAGAGCGCCTTTGTGGGCGAAGTTATGAGCAGCTTTGCTGCGAAAAAATCGTCCACAAAAACTGCGAAGTTAGGCAGATCACTGCTCTTTTAGCTTACCTTTAGGTACGAGCCATATGAACTGACCTAGTTACACGTTTTGGTCCAACACTGAGCCGAGAATGGCTTTGCATGGCCAAGTTTGACCTTTACACGCACAATTTCTTAGCAAAATGATGACTTTCAACGGCTTATAACTTCGCCTACAAAAGCGCTCTGCAGATAAGGAATACAGATCTGAAATCAGCATTCTATGCTGCATCGAATGGTATGCAGCTTGCTTGAATTGGCCACTTCGATTTCTGACCATTCCCTTGTAAGTGAAAGATATGAGTGCGAACATATTATATCTCATCGTTATGCGAATGCATAGCTTCCCTAAGATTTCCGTGAGGATTAAATTCAAGCGCGTTTCCAAATAAGAACAAAGGATCTCATTTTTGTCCAGCAGACTGCTGAGAAAAATTTCAGATCAGTGACCAAAATTAACTAAACTTTTATAACTTGATAGGGATATATACAAATTATAGAGTTGATCGCCTGCCCATTTCCTCTTCTCTAGTAAGAAGCGCCAGAGATTTTCTGGCCACTTTGCAATGCAGCGTCTACGCTAACACTTGAAAATTGAAGTGTGAACTAAGCAGGGAATTAAACACAGTTAATATCAGTAAGAACTACGTACTGCACAGAAAAAAGCGCAAGGACGTTCAAAAGAGGTGAAGTAGTTTCTTAGTGGAGATTATCTGACAAGCACTCTGATAAAGGGCGACTGTTTGCCGTTCTTATAAAACAAACAAAAAGGCGTGCATTCTTACCAAAAGATCTGATAAGTAAAGCGTACTTTTTGTGGTATTATAAATGCCATTATCTCGCTGCTAAGTTCTCACAAGCTTGCGCCCTTTGACCTCCGCAAGCAAATTTTCTCGAAGTGTTCACTTCATCTTATGTACCAGACCGTAAACTCAAATGATCTTAACTGAATTTAAGATGAACCGTACTTTGCTTGAAAGCCAAGAGAAGACCACAAAACTACCCAAAACTGAACAGCACGCTTACAATAAAAACGTTGCAAAAAGTCTGCAAAATATTGGTAGACTCACGCTTGCAGAAACTCGAGTTTGAGAAGAAGATAGATTTTATATTAGTACTACATTTTTTGAACTTGCTAATACAGCCAATGCTCCATCGCGAGACAAGCTATTGCTAAAGCAACAACCCTGGGCTGTTCCCCTCAGACAACTAAACTACAGCTGTTGGGAGTACAATCGTCAGTTTTCAACCTTTTACAGCTAGTTCTCATTCAAATAGCATATTTAGCTCTTTGTTCCCGTGTTTTTTGAGCTTGTAAGAAGTTGAGAATTGACTGTTGTTTTCCATCTATGCACGAACCCAGCATTGCCCTGGCAAAAGCTTGAAAGATTCGTGTTTTTTTAAATTTTAGACAAAGACTCAACGCTTTGAATATGAATGTCTAAGGCCTAAGGCATACCTCGCGCGATTCCGGTCGCTGCGGGATTTGACATAACAGCGACTCTGTATAATTCGTCGTTAATGCGCTTCCTTTGGTCAGGACTTGACCCATTTGCAACAACTTACACAAGCGCGCACGATAAATCTGTAGAAATCTGGCAAATCGCCAAGTCGCTTGAAAGCGGCGATTTGGCCGAATCGCGTCAGGTATGCCTTAGGCCTAACGCGCAGAGTATATGCGTGAGCGAGTGGGAGATTTTGAAGTTCTTTGAACGGAGCTTTTTGTTGGATTTTTAGATGGATCTAGGACTTCTCAGTCGGATTTTGGCTTCAAACTTCTCGTGAACCAAAGCTGAAACGCAGTTTTGAGGTCCACCTTGTATAGCTTGCTTTGTTCTATCGAGCACTACCGAAACCGTTAATGGCACCGTCCATTCAAAATGGGGACCATGAGATTTTGATACTCAGCAGTGGGGCTCCCAACTATATAACTACCCAACTCGCTCTACCAAAAGTTGCTTCCGAAGCGAGAAAGTGGTTTCGAAGCATTGGAGAAGAAGGATACGGCCACGTAGGCACCTCCCCTTTGAGTGGGCGGTACGTCTCGATTCAGTATTTCCATTGACGAATTTCGACGGGCGAATCCCGATCGGTGGGCATACATGTAGCAATTGTGCTTGCCACTTCGAAACGCGTACAGCTTACATCCGACGATATTGTTCCTTTGTACATCTCCACGTTCGCTGAATAAAACCTTGAGTGGGTTACTAAGATCATGGTAATCGAACTTGATATGTGAATTCAGAGCCGAAAAAAGGTGGAAATGGAAAAAATTTGGGAGTTGAGGAGTTTGTGGGGCGGTGCTTCTGAAGGCAGAGACTCGGGAAAACCTTGAGCTAAATTTTTTGCTTACCCGGGGTAAGGCGACGCGTTGACTCCGGAAACCGGCCTTAGAGATCGCGAATGGCGAAACCAGCATCTTCAAAGGTCCTTCGTGTCGAATTTGGACAAGTGGAACAACACTTGCCTAGAGTGGGACGCAGACAGGGTTGAGCGTGGAAGCGCGCCCGACCTGAGGGATCGTATCGGGGATAAGAGTAAGAGCAAGGGGTGGGGGCCGTGATCAAGGAGCGAAAGTCTCGGCCAAATTTCAATTTCATCTTATCTTACACATACCATAACATACCGTAACTGTAAAAAACTTTTTTAGTGACCGTAACGTCACTAAAAGAATTTTTTTGTGTAAACTGAGTATGCTTCCGTAATTAGCATGCCAAGTCACCTCAACGAGCTCTACAAACCATTACCTATTACATTTTCTGGTGTTTCCTAACGTTTAAAACGCATGATTTTCAACATGATTAACTTGGTGACAAAATTAAAAGAAGTCAGCTTTTTTGTACTCATAATGAAGTATTAATCTTTGCCACTCTATGGTAGAAATTGGATTTCGTGTCGCTTACAAATAATGGATTAAGAAATGCTGCCAAAATGTTACTCCCGCGTTTTCTACCTCGAGTGCTTCAACTCCACCGATCACCACAAAGCCAAAACAAGTCGAGATAAGTTCAAACACTTGTATTGGAATCTACGAGGTTTATGCTAGCGAATCATATAAATAAGGCGGAAAATCTCCTTTGGTGATAGAGTTAATCGGGTCAGGCGCAACCCCACAAAAGGTCAGGCTGACTGAGCTTTTGAGGGGTTGCGCCTGACCCGATTAACTTGTCTTCAAGATATAGAAATTGCTTTATTGCTGGTACAAATATTGAGCTCATAACTTCTTCTT